TATTAGTCTGTGTCTTTCATCTTGTTCCCTGTTAGTGCCCCTCAAAGTGACAGTGTGGCTGCTTCCTGCTTGAATATTTCCTTGACAGCCATTTATATGGAGAGAATTCTTTAAAATATGAGTGATTTCAAAAATAAATCCTTTTATGCACTAGAAATAGTGGTTGTAAGCTTGGCTTCTTTAACCTCCTTTTAAGAAATGTATAGCCATAATCAGTTTAAAATTTTAAAAGTGGGGTTGACTGAGGTAGGCAAAACAGTTTATGTGAAGTTTAAAAACTTCTTATCACTAACTTTGTTCATTATTTGGAATTTTTAATGCCCCCAAATTCCCTATTTTATTTTTCTCAGCATAGCAGGCAAAATTCACTTCTAAATGAAAATATGACTTTGCACGTAGAAGTTGTGAGGTCGTATCTAGCATAAGTATTATGGCTGGCTTGTGTCTGAAGATGGGGAAGGATAGAACAACACAGACATGATTTTTACATTAATTTTCATCCTGTGAGTTTAGAGGTATAAAGTCATGGGCCTGCCCCCTTGAGTGCCACCCAAGGATCCTGTAAATGGTCACTACTTGCTTTACCTCCTCTGACTTCTCGGTTCATTTCTCTGGGACATCTTGGTGCTCCCTGCACCCATCCAGCACCTTCTTTGCCCTTACCTTAGGGCTTCAACCTACCAGTCCTAGCAACTAGCCATGAGTTCTCTCTAGCTTCCCTGGTTGGCAGCATTGCTCTGTCCAGGGTGCTGGTTCTCCTTTCTCTTGGTAGGAGCCTGATTTACCTCCCTCCTCCCTTTCAAACTCTGGCAGCTACTGAAGCTGCTCTGTCCAGCAGCTCTTCTTAGGCCCTGATTGGCTGCTCCTCTCTGCTTTTCTGATTGACTGCCTCCTGCGTAGTCCCTGAACATAGTAATGGCCGTACTGGGTCACACTAACGGTCCATCTAGCCCAGTATCCTGTCTGCTGACAGTGGCCAATGCCAGATGCCCCAGAGGGAGGGAACACAACAGGTAATCCTCACGTGATCCCTCACTTGTCACCTATTCCGAGACAAACAGAGGCTAGGGACACCATTCCTACCCATCCTGGCTAATAGGAGTCTCTTAACCTCTTAGAGCAGGGGTCTCAAAATCCTGGCCCCTTGGGCCATTCTTGCCTGGAGTAATTGTGAATCTGGGACTCCTGGCGGGCCAGGGGTGCCTGTCTATTACTGGCTCCCAAGTCCCGTTCCTTTCTGCCACTGCTACGTCTGCTCCCCCCATTCCACCCCTTCCGTGAGGAGGCAGCTTTGGGGATTACCGTGGGGCCTGGCGCTGCACTGTGGCAGTGATCGCACTCCCTTTGGATTCCCTGAAATGATGGGTGCCATGGGGAAGCAATGTGCACTGGACTAGTGCACTTGCTCCACTTCCCCACAGTGCTTGTCACCACAGAAGGTGCAGGCATGTGTGACCTTTGCTGCTGCATGGTGCCAGGCCCCCCGGTAATCCTCAAAGTTGTATGCTCAGGGACGGGGTGCCATTGGGGGGAGAGGATGGCGTGATGGTGGGACTTGGGGGGCCAGTAATGGACAAGGCCTCCCACCCCAGCCTGCAAGGAGTTCTGGACTGGATTGCACAATCACTCTGGACAGGGATGTCTCCACGGGCTAAGAGTTTGAGACCCCTGCTTTTGAGCCAAATGTGAATCAGGTACCTCATCACAGTTACTGTCACTTGTTTATTAGGTGGTTGCAGATAAAACATCCCATTTCCCAGCATGTATTCAAAGAATTGTCTGTGGACTTAGTACAAGGGAAATATATATTTTAAAATCCTCTACTGTTAACGTAGCCAGACTTCGTACACAGTGTAACCTGGTCTCACCACAACCAAACTATCTGTAAAAGTATAAATCAAATTCTGTATAGCTAAACAACATGTGAAAGAATGCTAAAAGAGAGTCTCATTATATCCCAAATCAATATCAGTCTAGTGGTGTGGAAACAGAAAAAGGTTCATGGTTGGATAGTTTATTCAAGCTTGTGAAGGCCCTCTCCACTGACTAGTCCTCATTTTGATTAGCTATGAGAGAGCATATGCAGTGTAAGCACTCCGACTGGGGAAGCACAACTGCGACTTCTTTTGAGTTGTTTCCTTATTCCAGGAGGGCACCTGATAGTTGTGGGATGTCATGGCAATTGGCTTGATTTCATTGGCCTTTGCCCTTTTAAAAAAAAATGCATTTGATGTTATTTACATGCTGAACGCCCTACTGTAGTATCCATATGTTATTTTTTCACAGCATTTCTATAGATTACCTTCAATCAAAATGATATAATTGCTGAGGTAAACTTTAGAACATGTTTGGTAGGTTAAGGCACTGAGATGAAGGCCTACTAACTTAGCTTGCTCTTGGAGTGCAATAATCTTTGACAGTGTCTTGTTGCTGATGTCTAGATTGAATATCTGTACTTGAAAGCAGCAAAAAAAAAAAAAGCACTTTTATTCACTGACAACATTAAGATGACTCCCTTGACAGCAAACCAGAAAATCAGGGTGGGGTTTTTTTTGGGGGGGGGGGGGGGCTTGTGAGCAGT